TAAATTAAATTTTTTAAAATCGTGTGTCTCAATTTGTATATTTATATTTTCGCAACAACTTTCATTGTGTATACATATTTTATGTAATAGGAAGGTGAAATGCAAAACAATTACACCAAAAACTTCGAGTTTTGCAAAATGGGTGAACAACCAACAGAGTGCCCTCAAATAATCGAAAACTTGATATTTTTGTGGGTAAAGATAAAAAAAACAATCTGTGTATAATAATATATTTTGAACAGTTTGTGTTAAATTATATATTGTTCACTTTAACCAATTGTCATCAAATCCTGCTTATTAGTATCTTCTGGATAGGTTAAGTTATACAATGCCAGTAATGCTGCTTTAGCTGCTGCTTTTTTTGCATCTTTTTTGTTTCTAGCTGAAATATAAAAATTGTTTATATATTAATAGAAAAATATTTTACAATAATTCACAGAATATATACATACCAGTTCCTGAATATTCAACTCCACCAATTTCAACAGCCAGAGTAAACATAGTATTTGGTGGATTACCGACACGATGCAGCTCCATATACGTTAATCCAGGTCTCATTTGATTCAGTAACATAACTGGATGTATGTTTGTAGGATTGGGTGGAAGTTCCTTTTGAGTAGGAGTTTTAGCATTAGAATTTTCTTTCTTGACTCCTTTTGCAGTTGGTAAACCAGGTCGTGGGACTGGAACTGATGTTCCCTGATTATGCCATTCAAGAAAAAGTTTATAAAGTGCGAAACTGGCCAATGAACTCCATGGAATTTCATCCTCAGTAGTCGCATCCATAGTGTTATTATCGTCCATTATTTCCTCTTTTATACCATCCACCAAAGGTGGATTAGTTTGTCCATCTGATTCAGCATCCATACGTGCTTTCAAAGATGCTGCTGTCATTTTTTCAAGTAATAAAGCCTTTAATGCATTTTCAGCTGCATTTTGGCGAGCAAGCGGTTTAGATAAACCTTGTCCAACATAAGTTTTACCATCAAGCTATAAATAAAATAAATATTATTAAAGCAATATGAAAATGAAATTTGACAGCGTCATATTGCATATTGCTATCAAACTATAAATAAAATAAATGTTATTAAAGAAATGTAAAAATGAAATTTGACATATAGCGTCATATTGCATATTAAATAACATCTATTGTAAGTATTACAAGAATAAAATTTTAATTAAAGCAATAAAATAATTACTTCAGCATGAACGAGATAAAGTGAGTTCGGCATAGGTCCTTGTGTTTCAGGGAATGTGAATTGGACTCCAGCTTTCATTTCATTTAGTACCATGATTGCA